CACTTCCTGACAACTCTATGAATGAAGAAATACTTCCTAATATCCCTTTGACTAATCTGAGTCTTCAACTTCCAGTTGTGACCCCTTGTTTCTGTGTTCCCTCTCTGAAACATCCTGTTTCTGTACACCTTGTATATTCCACGCAGTATTTTGTATGTCGTTATCATGTCTCCCCTAACCCTCCTGTCCTCCAGTGTCGTCAGACCGATTTTCCTTAACCTTTCTTCATAGGACATTCCCCTTAGCTCTGGAACTAACCTTGTCACAAACCTTTGCATTTTCTCTATTTTCTTGACGTGCTTGATCAAATGTGGGTTCCAAACAGGTGCTGCATACTCCAGTATGGGCCTGACGTACAGTGTACAGTGTTTTGAACGATTCCTTGCTAAGGTATCGGAACGTTGTTCTCAGTTTGCCAGGCGCCCATATGCTGCAGAAGTTATCCTCCTTGAGTGAGGTTTGCAGTCTTTGGCCACCTAGCCTATACTCCGTCTGCGGTCTTCTTTGCCTTTTCCCCGATCTTCATGACTTTGTGTGTGTGCGTGTGTGAGAGAGAGAGAGAGAGAGAGGGGGGGGGAGTCCATGTGTGTGTGTGTAAGACAGAGAGTACGTGTATAAGAACATGTAAAGTAAAAGGACACAAGTGCAACCAATGTGACATTTTATAGTAGCAACGTTTCGCTCTCCATGAGCTTCGTCAAGCCGTTACAAACAATACATGGACACAGAGAGTATATATAGGCTCAGAGTGAGGTGTAATATTAGTGGTAGTAGTAGTAATAGTAGTGGTATAAGTTGTAGTAGTAGTGGTAGTAGTAGTAGTAGTACCACTACTACTACTACTACTACTACTACTACTACTACTACTACTTCTACTACTACTACTAATATTACACCTCACTCTGAGCCTATATATACTCTCTGTGTCCATGTATTGTTTGTAACGGCTTGACGAAGCTCCTGGAGAGCGAAACGTTGCCACTATAAAATGTCACATTTACTTTACATATTGTCGGTAATTCTACCAACATATATATATAAGAACATAAGAAAGGAGGAACACTGCAACAGACCTACTGGCCCATACTTGATATGTCCTTGTCAAACCCAAACCCACTAAAAAATATTCGCCCAACCCATTATCATTGTCACACAAGAAATAAGTTTTGATAACCCTATTAATTCAAATGCAAGTCCAACTCAAATCCAATCCCACTCACTCATGTATTTATCTAACCTAAATTTGATGCTACCCAAGCTTTTAGTTTCAATGACGCTACTAGGTAGACTGTTCTACTCATCGACTACTCTGTTTTCAAATCAGTACTTTCCTTTCTAAATCTAAATTTATCCAATTTGAATTCATTATTTCGAGTACTTTCCTGAAGAGATATCCATGGAACATTATTTATTTCTCTTATTTATATCCATCTTTTACTTACACACTTCAGTCATGTCTTCCCTCATGTCTTCAGTCATGTCTTCCCTCATGTCTTCAGTCATGTCTTCCCTCATGTCTTCAGTCATGTCTTCCCATGTATGCGTGGAGCCCCAGACCGACATAATGAGACTAGTCACGAGGGAGCATTCACCAAATTCAACTTCAATAACAAAAACATAAAGTGGGACCAAGTAAACCAAGTCCTAACCGATATAAGCTGGGAAGATATACTAAGCAACACAGACCCCAACTTATGCCTAGAACAGATTAACTTGGTGGCACTCGATGTATGCACAAGGCTTATTCCTCTAAGAAAAAAGAGTAGATGTAAAATAGAAAGAGACAGGCGCTCCCTTTACAGGCGACGGAAAAGAATAACAGAGCGGCTAAAAGAGGTCAATATATCTGAAATGCGTAGGGAGACACTGGTCAGAGAAATAGCAAGCATCGAACTTAAGCTAAAGGAATCTTATAGGAGTCAGGAATCGCGGGAAGAACTAAAAGCCATAAATGAAATCGAAAGAAACCCAAAGTATTTCTTCTCCTATGCCAAATCAAAGTCGAGAACAACGTCCAGTATTGGGCCCCTACTTAAACAAGATGGGTCCTATACAGATGACAGCAAGGAAATGAGTGAGCTACTCAAGTCCCAATATGACTCAGTTTTTAGCAAGCCGCTAACCAGACTGAGAGTCGAAGATCAAAATGAATTTTTTATGAGAGAGCCACAAAATTTGATTAACACAAGCCTATCCGATGTTATCCTGACGCCATATGACTTCGAACAGGCGATAAATGACATGCCCATGCACTCTGTCCCAGGGCCAGACTCATGGAACTCCGTGTTCATCAAGAACTGCAAGAAGCCCCTATCACGAGCCTTTTCCATCCTATGGAGAGGGAGCATGGACACGGGGGTCGTCCCACAGTTACTAAAAACAACAGACATAGCCCCACCCCACAAAGGGGGCAGTAAAGCAACAGCAAAGAACTACAGACCAATAGCACTAACATCCCATATCATAAAAATCTTTGAAATGGTCCTAAGAAGCAAGATCACCACCCATCTAGAAACCCATCAGTTACACAACCCAGGGCAACATGGGTTTAGAACAGGTCGCTCCTGTCTGTCTCAACTATTGGATCACTACGACAAGGTCCTAAATGCACTAGAAGACAAAAAGAATGCAGATGTAATATATACAGACTTTGCAAAAGCCTTCGACAAGTGTGACCATGGCGTAATAGCGCACAAAATGCGTGCTAAAGGAATAACAGGAAAAGTCGGTCGATGGATCTATAATTTCCTCACTAACAGAACACAGAGTAGTCGTCAACAGAGTAAAGTCCGAGGCAGCTACGGTGAAAAGCTCTGTTCCACAAGGCACAGGACTCGCTCCCATCTTGTTCCTCATCCTCATATCAGACATAGACAAGGATGTCAGCCACAGCACCGTGTCTTCCTTTGCAGATGACACCCGAATCTGCATGACAGTGTCTTCCATTGCAGACACTGCAAGGCTCCAGGCGGACATCAACCAAATCTTTCAGTGGGCTGCAGAAAACAATATGAAGTTCAACGATGAGAAATTTCAATTACTCAGATATGGTAAACACGAGGAAATTAAATCTTCATCAGAGTACAAAACAAATTCTGGCCACAAAATAGAGCGAAACACCAACGTCAAAGACCTGGGAGTAATCATGTCGGAGGATCTCACCTTCAAGGACCATAACATTGTATCAATCGCATCTGCTAGAAAAATGACAGGATGGATAATGAGAACCTTCAAAACTAGGGAGGCCAAGCCCATGATGACACTCTTCAGGTCACTTGTTCTATCTAGGCTGGAATATTGCTGAACACTAACAGCACCTTTCAAGGCAGGTGAAATTGCTGACCTAGAAAATGTACAGAGAACCTTCACAGCGCGCATAACGGAGATAAAACACCTCAATTACTGGGAGCGCTTGACGTTCCTAAACCTGTATTCCCTGGAACGCAGGAGGGAGAGATACATTATTATATACACCTGGAAAATCCTAGAGGGACTAGTACCGAACTTGCACACGAAAATCACTCACTACGAAAGCAAAAGACTTGGCAGACGATGCAACATCCCCCCAATGAAAAGCAGGGGGTGTCACTAGCACGTTAAGAGACCATACAATAAGTGTCAGGGGCCCGAGACTGTTCAACTGCCTCCCAGCATACATAAGGGGGATTACCAACAGACCCCTGGCAGTCTTCAAGCTGGCACTGGACAAGCACCTAAAGTCGGTTCCTGACCAGCCGGGCTGTGGCTCGTACGTTGGTTTGCGTGCAGCCAGCAGCAACAGCCTGGTTGATCAGGCTCTGATCCACCAGGAGGCCTGGTCACAGACCGGGCCGCGGGGGCGTTGACCCCCGGAACTCTCTCCAGGTAAACTCCAGGTAAACGTCTCACAGTAGAATGTAGGTTAAAGGATTGCAATTTCTCCTCGTATGGAAGACTCCTTATAAAATGGATTAATTTTGTCATTCTTCTTTGAATGCTCTCTAACAAATAAGTATCCATTCTGTAGTGCGGAGACCAGAATTGAGCTGCATAATCCAAGTGTGGCCTTACTAATGATGTGTTGAGCTGCAGTATAACTATTGGACTTCTGTTCCTTATACTTCTTGTTGTACCTAATAAGCCGAATCGTTCAGTTTGGCTTATTTGCCAAGGGTTCACTTCGCAGAATAAGCCGAATAAAAATTTGTTTTTGCCATAAATCAGCGACAAACTATCTGAGCATTACGAAAAAATATATATCCTTGATTTTAAGGAACAGTAATCTGTTACTTTAAGTATCAGTAAAGGAGTTACTGTTACTTAAAGTAACAGTAACGGAGTTACTGTTACTTAAAGTAACAGATGGGAGTTCTGAGGGATACTATGGTCATAGTACTTCAAGGATAATGAAGGTTTGAGGCTACGTGAAAATAACATTGTAATTTGTATATAATTATTGCAGACTGGCTTAAAAAAAATATTAATATGTCCACTTTATATGCATAGAAATTTGTGCAGATGGTAAATGTTTACATAATATAATGTGGTGTAAATTACTTACCACCTAAAACATCGTTTAACATCTTGATACGATCCATCGGAATTATCAGACTTACCGATGTTTTTTTGGTATTCCTTTAAGAAAGAAACCTCTCATTTAAATGGACGTTATTCAAGAACTGTTTTGTTAAAAAAGTCTAATGAATATGTAGATGCTGTTTTAATTTTATACTTTCCTCTGATCTATTAAGAAATTTTACAGAATTTTTTTACCATAGCTGACACATTTTGGACTACCTTTCAACGATGGCAGCTTGTCGGTGACTATTATAATTTTCACACATTCCCATTCTAATGTTCGCAGTGTTTTATGTGATTTTCTGACTATAGTTTACGAACGGGCATGAAGATTGCAGAGGAAGAAGAGCGTATGATCCCTGCTTCTGTCCTCACAAACTAGATTATAAAAGATTATGATGAGTACTTAAGTACCAGTGTATGACGAATGTGTTTCATTACAGACATTAATCCCGCTGTTCTCGAGGATACTGCCGGTGGCGAAATGGATGGTACTGGGCAGCCACCTGGTACACCGTCTCCATCTCCTTCTCTTCCTGCCCATGTACTCCCTCGCCAGCATCTCTTTCTTCGCCTCACTCAAGGCCTTGGGCCTTCATTTATGGCGAAAAGTAACTTGTGCCACCGACAGCTTACAGCAGGTGAGATATGTGAGGGAAGGGTAGATGGGGGTAGAGGAGGAAAGAAGAGGATGACTGTGTGGCTGTGCCAAAAAAAAAAGATGGAATAGGAGGACAAGGATGTGTGAGGGATTCGGGGAAGACGTGAGAAAAAGGATGGGAGTGTAGGAGAAGGAAAGATGGAAGAGAAAGGATAAAGGATAATGAAGATGTGTGAGAAAAATGAATGAATGGTGGAAAGAAAAGATGGATGAGAGAGAATAGCAAAAAATGTGTGATAAGGAGGAAAATGAATGAGGAGGGAGGGTGGAAGGATGAATGACGATAGTCAACGTGTATAGTAATTTTAATAAATATCTTCAACATGTCCACTATTAGCGATGCAAGATTCACATGAACACGATGCAGTAACTCCGGTAACTGCGGGAAAAAACAACAAAATGTTAGTTAAACTTCCTATGCTTCCCAGACTTTTAAACAGAAAGATGGACGGGGCTTGAATACAAGCAAGCGCTTATCATCATATAGTACTCAAATTGTAAGTTATTTAATAAATTGCACTAAGCGCATTGTTTCTCCCTTCATAGTTTCAGAATCTTTTAAAATAAACTCTGATGCATTTTTATTATCTCTCTACAGATGTCACCAACTGAAATGAGTTTCGCCCATGATTCAACAGTTGGAGGTTTGTAGCTGCCTCGGAGACCTGGTGCTCAGCTCCAGATGATTTACACCGAATATTCAATCCAAACCCATGCACCAGTACGCTCGTGTTTCTTTTAAGATGTGCTGTTGTCAGTTATATGCCTCAACAGTTGTAAACAGTGAGATATTTTTTTCTTTTTCTAACTCTGTTAAGCAAAGAAGTTGAAAAAAAATATGTTAAGTAAATAATGGCTGAATATCAAGATTAAGAAGTCGATTAAAGTTTCCTATAATTGAAATTGCATGAGTAGGTCATGTTTTGGTGCAAAAATGGTGATTTAAAATGGAATACTAACTGTGAAAAATACAAACGAAATTATAAATTACTTGGTAAATCGAATTCTTTTATATATTATATATATATATATATATATATATATATATATATATATATATATATATATATATATATATATATATATATATATATATATATATATATGAAATAAGATCACAGTAAACAGGTGATTTCAAAATATGCAAAACAACCACTTTGAAAGAATAGAGAAATTCCAAGCGCTTTCGTGACTACTCACATTATCAAGGAACTATGATAGTTCCTTGATAATGTGAGTAGTCACGAAAGAGCTTGGAATTTCTCTATTCTTTCAGAGTGGTTGTTTTGCATATATTATATATATATATATATTATATATATATATATATATATATATATATATATATATATATATATATATATATATATTATATATATATATATATATGTTTGTGTATATTTCACCTGCTCTTGCGAATTCCTTGCATTGTTAATATCTCTAGTAAGGCTGATGCATGCAGGGGATGAGATGAAAAGCTGTAAGCCTTCTCTCTGAAAGCTGGCTGCCTTGGATCAAAGTCTAGCGCAAGCTGGACTTCAAGGCATTGGTCCAGTGTGGGTAGATTGGTAAAGCACTGCGTACCTTGTTCCAAGGTTCGTAGGTTCGAGTCTCCTTCAGCCAGAGATCAGTGTTTGTGTATATTTCGCCTGCTCTTGCGAATTCCTTGCATATATATATATATACGTACATATATAAATTATCCCTAAGATTAATGTATTTCATATACCCAAAACTTATGACGGGCTAGCTGGTTTTTCGTGGCACTTTTCATTTATATTACCATGTTTACATTTCAAAGGCACTTAAAAAAAAAAAAAGTCTGCACTCATTATGTTACTGGATGGATGTTTGAGTCCTTAACTCCTGTTCACACAACATCTATCTCTTCTCTAACGTTACAGAGAGGATCTTACAACCATCCCTAACTTATGCACTTTCTTAATCAGCCTATTTTATTCCACCAGTTAACTTGATTATACCACTTTATCCTCTCGCCAACTCTTTGAATTCAATCTTTCGTAGTTGTATATATGTATATAATCAGACAGTGCATTGATTTGTGGCACTTTTCCATCAGTCTTCTCGTAGCAACATTCACACAATGCCTCACCTTTATAAAAATCATAGGTACAACGTTACAGTGATACATTCCCAATTTTGAATTCAATGGTAACTTCTGTCCTCAGATTTCTGATCGTTCCCACGACTTTTTTCATTTGTTTTGTGAGTCACATTAATTTTTAATTGACCTTTCTCCCAACGCATCCACTTCCAAAGACTAGATGTATTCCGTTCGCTGTGTCCTCCGACAGAGATATCTCGTTACTGCATAACCTCAGCCCCTTGCGTCTCAGTGCATGCGATAGGAGTAATGGAGAGTGAGACGGAGAAGCCAGATATAGATACTCAATCCGGGGGTAAAAGGTATTAACTTACAATTGTTATGGATTCCATCGCACACTGGATTACTCCATAATGAAGCTGATGCGTTCGCCAAGAAAAGTACCCTGAAGAAAGATGTAGAATATAACTTTGGTGTATCTGTGTCTAGCGTTAGGAATAATATTAGGTGAGAAATAAATCATGAAACTGAATGTTATGGGAATGCGGTTAGAAGCCTGAGTATATCCATAACCCGTTATGATTACGTGAATGTAGTAGATAAGTACGTTTATGGAACAACTTGCAATGTAAATAGACTGACTGATGTTGCAGTAGCCAGGCTTAGGCTTGGTTACAAGTTCTTCCGTCTGTATGGCAGACACACAAATGATGATAGAACCAAATGCAAATGCCCTATGATCGCTATCTTTAACACTATGTGTTTTACTGTCCACTTATTGAGGAATATAGAGATTGACATTACAATAACCTGTGTGATATGTCAAGATATCTTATTAATTAAAATGAGATACCAGATATATAAAGCAAATTTCCAAAATCTGTCTTCAGCAAACTGAACTGAAGATATAAATCCAGATGTACTCCTGTAAACCCTTTTGAGACATAATTCCTAGGCCATTTGCATAGCAATATGCTCATGCGCTACCTTCCGCAGGATGTATATGTTGTGCATAATAAATTAGCCACTTCGGCGACAAAATCTAATCTTTGTACACTGAGGTTGTATTACCCAAGATGAAATAAAAATGAAACCCCTGGGCCAAAACTTGTTTTTTTCTTGTTTCCTTGCGAGAATGTGTGTGTGTGTGTGTGTGTGTGTGTGTGTGCTGTGAAATTGGATCCATCTTTTTAAAACACCCGTATATTTCACGTATTTCGACGTGAAATATATTCACCTAGAAAAAATGAATCAAGTTCAGTCTGGAGACAAAGGTGTTCAGAGGGCAGGTACAAACATAAACAAATATTGATAAATTAGACACATGTGCAACTCTTGGGTATCTTTATTGTGGAAACGTTTCGCCACACAGTGGCTTCATCAGTCCGTACGTAGGAGAAACTTGAACAACAGGAGGAGAATGAGGTAATCAGTCCCTCAACCTTGAGTCGATGTGTTCAGTCCATCAATCTTGAATAGAATACGGCATATCAGTGGAGAAGCAGCTTATAAACCGTATGGCAGGAGAGGTGCAGCAGTCATAGGTCGTGTCACATTTGTTCAATGTGGAAGTAGGTCGTGAACCATTCATCTACAAATCTGTCAGACACTGCAACTTCTTGGGATCTTAATACTTAGGAATTCTTCGCTTGCCTAATTCTTGGGCACGACCTACTTCCACATTGAACAAATGTGACACGACCTATATATATATATATATATATATATATATAATATATATATATATATATATATATATATATATATATATATATATATATTATATATATATATATATATATATATATATATATATATATATATATATATATATATATATATATATATATATATATATATATATATATATATATATATATATATATATGTATATTATATATATATATATATATATATATATATATGTATATATATATATATATATATATATATATATATATATATATATATATATATATATATATATATATATTATATATATATATATATATATATATATATATATATATATATATATATATATATATATATATATATATATATATATATATATATATATGTCCTGTGGTTGCTAGTATATCTTAGCTATGGCCATGCTTTAAAAATAAAAAAAAAATTATTGTAACAGCGTAAATTTCAATATATTTCATGTAAAGTAGTTGTGCGATTTAAACAACTTTTTATCTTTTCTTGATCATTTTCATCACAAGAAAAGTATCAGATAAAGGAAGTTATCTTTTCTCCTGGTATCTCTAATTTTTAAATGGAATATTTATAAAAGTTTATCCTCCCTCAAATCAAGCTAAAAACGACATATAATAGATACATTAGTAGCAAATTCACATTTTTAAAAGATACATAGAGCCTCCCAGTATTTTGTTGGATGACAAGTTTCAATGACAAGTATAATAAAAAGACATTGGATGCACTGAGAAACTTATAGGCGACATTTCGCCTGGGTAGAGATTTATATAGTATAGAAGAACGAGTAAGATAGGTCATTATATATTGGAAAGGTGTGTGGTGAAGCGAAGAACTATGTCAGGGTCAGGTGCTCTCGGAGGCGATGATATCTGTAGGCGTCAGCGTCACTTGTTATCAGGTTTTCCTGTCTATGATGAGTTACTAAATGCTCCTTGATCATGTGTTAAAAAATCTGTATAAGTGCTGCGTCAAAGCAAGGCTAGAAGGTGCTGTTCTGATGTGCTCCTTCTGATCACTTTTTAAGAGAGCTATACATTGGTAAGTCTTCATGTGCTCGATACAGATATTAACATCCTATAAAAATCAAATATATGGATAGGAGAGGATATCCAATCAGAAAGGAGCTCAGTGCTAAAAGATGATTAACAATTCATTAAAATATAAAATGGAATGCATATCTAAGATAAAATGAGAGGTAAATAAAAAAGTGTAGAGCACAATGTAATGATTCTTATTAGGTTTATTTTGAGTAAACCTATAGGGACCTGAAAACAAAAGGTGAAGAAAGCAAAATGTGGGTCAGATACATAGTCAGCACTTCTTGCAAGAAGTGACCTCAAGTTCCTGGGCTTGCCTCATAACTTTTACTTGAGCTCTGTAATCAGTGTCATTGGATCCTATAATTCGTTTGCTACATCCTTGAATAGGATTAGCCACCATCGTTACTCTTAGCTTGTACAAGGTATCAGTATTCTTGAATATCTTATCTGATACGATCGTGTCTGTCTTTTAGTTCGCTCCTCCAGTGAGATCTGTAGTATTTCCTTATAGACTGTACCTTCAGCTCATCAGTCAGGCCTCTGGACTTTTGATACATTGTGTCTGACAAGGCAAGAGATCCTTGCTACTTCTGGGTGTTCGAGAACTGATCAATCAGTGCCCTAAATGTTAAAATCCTTGAGAACTGTACTTATTTTTACAAGCCTTGCGTTCACTACAGCCTCAAATAACGATTCCATGTGGAGATGTGGAGACTTTCAGAATAATGTAATGATAGGGGAGAATCTTAGCTCTTAAATCTGATTTGGAAGACAAACTATACCTCTGAGGTTGCGGTTTTTCAGAGGAACTTCAAGTGCTGACTTGTTTTTGTTTGTCAGGGCATGGGGTTAGACGCCTTTTGTATATTTATAAGACAATAATGAGTTGCTTTCGCTGACACTAATGCAGTAGGTCATCCCGCACTATCAACTACGCTGATGCATACAGTTTTGCTTAATAAAAAAAATGATATTCTTAAATCAACAAATTACGTAAGTATAAAGGGCAGCGATCCGGCGGCTTCACACAAAACAGTCCACAATTATACTGACTGTGCACTGAATAAACAAAAGATCCTTTTAAAACGCCCCATAACGTTGCTCGACTTTTGTATACATCATTTTCACACCTGTTTCCACTAACCGGAATCTGTTGCTAAGAGTTCTCT